ACCCATGTTTATAGCGGCACAGTTTGTAATAGGTAAAACTTGGAAACAGCCTATTTGCCCATCAGTTGGAAAATGGATAAAGATGTGGTTTTTCTATAAAATGGAATATTACTCAGCCATAAAGAATGAGAAAATAGATTCATTCATAGGAAAATGGATACATAATGAAGATATACTCCTAAGTGAAATAAATAAGGCACACATGTGTATATACCGAATAGTTTCTCTGGTGTAAATAATCTGCAATAATACATAAGATCCTAATAAGATTACTGACATTGAGAAATGGGAAGAAAGGAGCTAGAGGTGTAGGGAAGGTGGGACGGGTAGGGGAAGGGTAATAGGGAAAAGAAAAAAATGTGAGATAATGAAAAGATGGAAATAAAGTGGTTGTAGATGGGGAGGAGGGGGTGAAGGGAGGGCAGGGACAAGGGGAAAAAATGAGAACCAAGACTTGTCATGTAGAGGTACAAGATCCCAACAATGAATGTAACTGTACTGTATCCCTAAAATGTACCAATAAACTCAATTAAAGCTGAAAAAAAAAACAAAAAACAATGAAAAAACCATCAAAAAGTAAAATATATCTACCAAACTGGTATGAGCAAATTCAAACTGATGAACATCTCAGCATGGGTAAATCTCAAAATAATTATGCTGACCAAAAAGACATTAGGCCAAAAATAAAAGTAAATACTAATGGATTCCATGAGTATAAAATTCTAAAAAATGGAAAATAACCTGACACAAAGCAGATCAGTAATTTGGGATAGATAAGAGAAGGAAGAGATGGATACAGAGAAAAAAAGTAATCCTGATGCTGTTCATTATCTTGATTGTGGTGATAGTTTCATATGACTAAAAAAAAAAAAAAAATAACGGAAGAAAACAAAAGATAATATGATTTTTAGAAAATAAGTAACAAAGAGATAAGAAAAAAAAAAAAAAAAATATATATATATATATATATATATGTCAAAACAGTAATTTGAATGCTTTCAATATGTGCTCTACTGAGCTACAATTATGTCTCAATAAAGCTGTAAAAAAAAGTATTAGTATGTTAAATATTCCATAAATATCAGTTATTATTGTTCTTACTGAGGTATAAAAATTGAAAACAGAAAAAAAAATGCCCCAAAGAACCTGAAATACTCATCTGAGGAAGAACACATCATTAATGAAATTCACTCCAGGACAGAAATAGGGAAGAACCCACAAAGGTGTTAGCTCTCTGAGGTATCAGCAGATCTTATTCCCTTTCAATCCACTCAGCCACAAAACTGTAACAAAAATAACCAAAAAATACAAAAGCAGAATGTATCAACATTAAGACAAAGAAACCCTACATGCCCTCAATGGGAGTTAGATAAAGTGGAGAAAGCCCCAACATTTTCACAGTACAGCGGACTTTCCAGTGCCATCAAAAGAGTAACATTAATTTCCTCTTATACCTCATGCCAGATTAGCAGTCTTCTAATCAATTCTTAATCCCCAAAGGTGCCCAAGGGATAGGGACAAAATTTGATTATTTATTAACTAAGACTTATTGACTGCTTACTAAGTGTAAGGCATTCACTCAAACTTTATGAGTAAACTGAAGCACAGAGATACAATTTCCTGCCAAAGTCACAGAATTGGTAGTTGTCTGAGTCAACCCACTTAGTCTGATGCAAAAGTCCATGTTCTTTTTTCTTTCTTTTTTGCGGTACTGGGGATTGAACTCAGAAGTTTGTGCTTGCAAGGCAGATGCAGTGCCACTGAGCTAAAAAAAATCCCAGCCCCAAAAGTCCATATTCTTTACCATAAAACCATACACTATACTGCTTTCCTTATCAGACAAGTTTTCTTGCCTTTACGACACAATGACAATGAAACCACTCTACTAACACCAGTTTTTCTTTCCCCTGAGCAGCCAGGTGATTATATCCTAAGAACTGAATTAAGCAAATGATATACTTTTAGCTAGAAGACATTTTATAAATTATTACTTTAAAAAGTAATTCTATTAGCTTAGAAATCACTAAAATGGAATCCTTAAAATAGATCACTCTCTTTCTGTCTTTACTCAGTTTTATGATTAATTTAGGACCTCTAATAGAAAGTGGTTTTACATAGTGAAACATTCTTTACAGGAAAGAGAAGCCTATTTGATAATTTAGTATTCAACATTTCTTTTTAAGGGGAGTTCATTCCTACACAGAAAACACTAGGAATTAACTTTGCTTTTTCTGAAATGGATGAGACATCAAACACACGTTGTGTGTAGATTAATTTGCTTTGAAACAATTCTTAATACTTTAAAAAAAGCATAAAACTTTGACAATCAATGCTACTTACTGGGTCAGCTAATACATAGATAGACACAGTTACAGAGACAGTCTTATTTCCCATGGCAACATTACTATCTGCTATACAGCAGGTATTGTTATATGTAGAGAAGATTCTGCAAGGCATTAAAAAACCCTCAAATTTGTACCCTCATAGTACCTATTTCTAGAAGGGTGACTCTGTCAACACACAAATGAGAGGAATATATGCACAGTGTCCAATGATGATCTCTAATGAGGTAAAACAAGGCAGAGGGTTGGAAGGCAAGGATGATGGGGTGACTGAGAAGAAATGGGTGGCAAGTGCTTTTTAAACAGTCTCTCTTCAAAGATATTTAGGTCAAATAACAGGGAATGTTCATATTAAAGCAGTAAACAGAAATTTGATTCCTTCCCATGCCTAATAAAAAAAAAATGCAAACAAGCCAGGCACCAGTATGAAAGGCTGAGGCAGAAGAATCACACGTTTGAACATAGCCTAGTCAATTTAGTGATGCAAAAACCTATCTCAAAATTTAAAAAGGGCTGCAGATGTACCTCAGTGCAAAGGGCCTGGACTCAATTTCCAATACCAACATCATCAAAATGACCACCATAAAAAAGAAAAAAAACCCAAAACAAAGAAACAAAAAAACCCCAAAAAAACCAACAACAGCAACAACAACAAAAAGCACATATGAGATGGAAAGATCTGAGGATTAAAAAGTCTGTTAAGGGCAAAAAACATCAGGTGAGTATTCCCTACGTCCAGAAAAGGTCAGCAAAAATAAGCGGATGGGACAACATTATTCAGGTTTCTCTAATCATCTCCCCAAAAATAACAGTCTCATTTCCACCTCTAACTGGAACACAGTTCTTAAAGTAATAAAGATCAAAACAAAAATTACTTCAAAATTTTATATCCAATCAAGGAATACATACTATGTGACAACCCCAAAATAAAGTGAGATGAATTCTATCAGAATTAAATATAATTAAATATTATGAAATCCTTTAAAGCACAAAGACTGGAAGAAGCAAGGTGAGAAAAAAAATTACTAGGTTTCTAAAAAAATCAGCTGTATGCACATAGTCCTAGATTTTAAAATCAATTTCTCAAACTGCTCAAACAGAAATTAAACATTTTTCCATTAACACATTCACAAGTAAGTATTAGAATGTATTAATTTTAAACCAATTTGTCCTTTTGTATAAAGTAAGAATGTAGATAATTTTTTCTATTATAGTCACATAATAAATTGCCAGTCATCTGAGCCAAAGGCTCAGGGCTATTTTAAAGTTCTAGAATTACACAGGACTCAAACAAAGGCCCTTAAATGATTAAGTGCTCCCATGAGGAATTCCCTTTAGAAGATCTCTGAAGTAATGTGTCCCACTGTTTGACAATGTTTTAAAACTTAAGTTTTTCCTTACTTCAAATCCTCAATCCTGCCTCCCTCAATTCCCACCTATTTGATTTTTTTCTTTCCTAGAAAAGATCAAAAAAGTTTACCCTGTCTACTGTCAACCTTTGTTAAGTTTATGAAGACCCTCATTCAGGCCTTCTCTTCTCCTGTGCAAATTATGTCCTGTTCAATATTTCAATAACATTCATAGTAGTACCCGTGTTTTTAAAGATGCACATACCATGTCATTCAAATCTCATCCTAAATCTGTAAGCATAGTGATACTACTTCATTCCTTGACTTAGAATGCATAAACTTAAGTCTCTCTTGATGAATAGCTAGCATATGTCTTTATCTCTTGCTTGTTGTATTAGTTATTTTTCTTGTTGCTCAGACAAAATACCTGACATCTAAAGTTAAAGGAAAGGTTTATTTAGTTCACAGTTTATAGGTATCTTCAGTACATAATTGGCTGGTTCCAAGGCAGGGAGGCACAACAGTCATCGCAGAGGAGAAACAGCTCATGGCTGGCAAAAGGTAGCAAAGCAACAAGGGATGACTACAGTTCTTTCTATTCCTTGTATCTTATCCAGGTTACTTGGGACAGGCAGCACTCGCACCCTTAATCCTAGTGCCCTTGATTCTAGCATTGCACCATGAATCAATTCCAGTGTCAAACACTCTAGATCCAGCCACCTGTGAAAAAGCCCCACCAATGATTACATGAGGCTTTGGGGGCACATTAGACACAAGCCATAATACTTGTGATAATGTTCCTTGAAGGAATAGGTTATATAGTGCACAGAAAATAGATCCTCTCCAAAAAAGATATATCACAGAGAACAGTTGGTTTAGCATCAATGTGTAAAACATGTTTATTCAAGTTGTAAGCAACAACCATATGGGGATGCTTGTTAGAAATGCAGATTAGTTCTAAACCTCTCCGGACTACAGGATCAAACTCTCTGGAATGGTGCCTTGAGATTCACAATTGGAGGAACAATCTGCATAATCCTTGGTTATTTTTGGACTTAAGAATCATGGTCTAAGATTTTTTTTTTCAGCTTTAATTGAGTTTATTGGTACATTTTAGGGATACAGTACAGTTACATTCATTGTTGGGATCTTGTACCTCTACATGACAAGTCTTGATTCTCATTTTTTCCCCTTACCTCTGCCCTCCCTTCACCCTCTCCTCCCCTCCCCATCTACAAACACTTTATATTCATCTTTTCATTCTCTCACATTTTTTTGCTTCCTAAGAAAGACACTTTAAGTATCTCACCTGTAATCCAGGAATAAACTGAGAGTCCTTTTCAACCACTAGAAGTTCAGCAACATTGGCATTGAGAATGGATCTTGTGATTCCTCCTGGCCCAGGGCCCACTTCATAAACATAAGCATTTGTCAGATTTCCAGCTTTCCTTACAATTTTATCTAGAGAAAAGAAAGTTTTAGCCTTTTTGATGATCTTGGCAATTTTTATATATGAAATTTTAAACAGAAAGTAATCTATAAAAAATTTTTATCAGCTATTGCCCAATCAACAAGTCCTTTATATACAGTATTTACTTGGTTACTTAACTCTCAACTTAAACCAACATTTAAGTTATTTATATTCTATCACTATTTAATTTTACCAGTTAACAAAAATGAGATTATTAACATCAAATGCAATGTCAAATCACGAAGCTTGAGTATCAGTCTTGCTCTGCTCCTACCTGACATTCTCTGACAAATACCTTAACCTCCCTTCACTTTGGTTTCCATAGGAAGAGTGGATAATACTATCTGGAATGTGGAACTCACTCCCAAGGTTGAATAAAAACATGAGAAAATATAAAGACAGAAATTTTAAAAAAGTAACACGACCCATATTTTCATCCCTGAGAATTTAATATTTAAAAGGTGGCTAAAAACTAGTAGAAAGGGCTGATACTAGTTGTTACTGAATGAGAGAATTTTAGAAGTTGGTAATCTTTTAAAGTTATTGTAGTGGTCCCCTCTCCCAATTAAAAAATGAGAAAATTTAAGCTGTTTTATCCAAAGTAAAATTGCTACAGGTGGAATAAAGCTTGTTCAAAGGGTGATCATAAGATACTGTGAATGTTTAAATTTTTTAAAAAACTGCAACAAAGGACACATTGCCAAGAATAATGGGATAACTGTTTTTTGAGCATTTTGAGGGAGGGTTAATGACAATGTATCTTTTACTACAAAAACTTTTTCGGTGTTTATTTACCATATATCACAGGATCACCCCTTGTTGCCCATATACTTTCAGCAATTAGAGTACCTTCATACATCTTACTGGATTTGACTTCTGGCTCTTCCCCAAAGTCAAAATGACATTAAAAGGTAAATGTTTTGAATCAACTCAGGCAGACAGCCAGGATGTTGCAACAAAAGATTTTCACCAAAGAGGACTTCTAGAACTGCTTCATAAAGTTGCAAGAATGATGTGTTCAAAGAAAGGGGATAGTGTTTTGAGGAAGATTAATGGCAATGTGTCTTTTACTGTAATAATTTTTTAAAATTTCAAGTCATATTTTTTGAGCACACCTCAGCGTTCAAGGCATACAATTTATATACTCTTTGTGGAGTGTGCATCATTTAATGGAAATAAGCTTTCTGAGTGACTGTTCTTTTTAACTTCTGAAAAGAAGCCAAGTAGAATATCAAAATCTGAAATTATAAGCACTCCTGCTGTGAATTAGTATATATACTTGTAAAAATCTTATTCTTGGAATCTCAACTTTCACAAAAGACGATGACTAATAGGGATGGAAGGAAAGCTAAAGTATATATTTGTCAAGACTCACCAAATCAAGCACCTTAAACGGCTCAATTTCACTGTATATAAATTTTACCTCATAAAAAGGGACTTGAAGATGTGGGTATGTAAACTATTTTGTAAACACCACCAGGACTTACTGTCTTGTTCCTTTCCATATGTATCCCTAGCATTAGCACACAGGTTACACAATATGTTATTTTCTACATGAGTATCTGCACCTTTGAGGATCTGACTTAGGTAAACGCTTAAATAATGAAACCTACGAAGCATACCCTTTTGAAATAAGGTATTTAAATCTCAGCACTAATTTAAATTCTATAACTTTAAAATGCATAAGATGGAGCAGGGCGTGGAGGCGCACGCCTGTAATCCCTGCACTTGGAGGCTGAGGCAGGAGGATCGCTGTGAATTCAAGGTCAGCCTGCCTGGGCTGCACAGCGAGACCTTGTCTCAAAAAACTAAAACTAAAAGAAAAACACAGTGCATGAAAAGCCACCGTGTGCAGTCCCATTTCAGTGTCTGACTTGATGACTGAAGTTCACGTGACTGCTAACATCCACCTTTGCCCGGACCACCCCTTCTCCGCACCGAGCGCTACGTTCACCCCGTGGGGCTGTGCAGGCTCACGGCATACGCCCCTAAACGGGGGCGGGGGGGGGGGGTCTCGCGAGCAAATATCTTCTTTCAAGGGTCCGGAAGGTGAGACTTCAGTGTGATAAGGAAGGACTTGAGCAAAGAATCTGACCAAACCCCCGCTGCATGCCCACGCCTGGCCTCGAAAACCCGCTCGCCGGGTCCGCTACAGAGCCCGGCCCACGTCCCCTAGGACGCCCGGGGAGAATTGGGGCACAGTGACAACAAATCCACCTGTCAGCCTCAAGTCCAGGAGAAAATTCTGGGACAGCTGCTTCACTGCTCGTAGTCTGAACAACTTAAGGATTTCTCGAATGGTGGGCAGCGGCGGGAGACGAAGAGCTGCCATGAACGCCGTACGCGACGCCTGCCTCACGCGGGGCCCTCCCGGAGATTCAAACGCACCTGGCGGGCCTGAAGCCTGGGAGGTTATAGCCCGCCTCCGTACACGGCTCATTGGTCGGAGGCACCGTTGACGGAAGTGACGTTAAAACAGGATCCGGGTGCGCTGAGAACGCAGATTCTGTGTTTCTCTGAGAGCGGTGCGAGTTGGGAATGGTAGTTTGTGTGTGTGAACGCCGTGAAGGAACCCCAGCTGGAGAAGCCTGTCCAAGTGGAGAGAGTTCCCGGGTAGACCGGGCGAGGCGGGGCCTGGGAGAATTGGCGGGGCCTGGGAGAATTGCCCTGGCTCTGCAAACCTGCTGTAGAGGTATTGTTTAGGCCCTCCGATGGTCTAGATGCCTGAGTGGGAATAGCAAAAAACAGGTGATTAGAGGCAAAACTCTTTGTTGGCAGTTCTGCCTTGTAGCTGGGTTTGTTTACAACCTCGGTTTTGCAGGTGCTGCATATTGCGTACCTAACTTGTCTTGGCGTGTTGTTTTTGCGTTTTACAAAGAAAAGGTTCATTTTCATCACAAGAACACAGACTATATACAATACACACCAACAGAAGTTTTAAAAAGCGCACTATGCATCTTCTGAAAATTCACAGTACAAGTGATATTAAATATATAATAAATATATATAATATAAAAAGAAAAACAATTTTTAAAAAATCATTGACATTGTTATGCAACACACGTGAATCCATCTGGAACTTCTGAAAAAAAAACAAAATAATTTGTCAGGTGGAGTTGCTAATTGGGATGGGGGTGGATCTGTACCTATATTTTGTTGCAAAAGGTCTCAGGACACTAACAAAAAGGAGAATAGAGTAGCGTAGGTGACAGTATACCTCTGTTAAACAGGAGTACAGTCGTGTGATGGGAAATGGGTGAGATATATGCCTGTGGTTCAGAGGGCAGAAGGTTTGTGCTGCACCACCCCCAGCTGTCTAGCAAATCAAATTGTATTCTTTTATTAAGGGTTATGGCATAGGCCAGGAGGCCTGACCTGCAGGAACAACCAATGCTGTGTTTAGAGACTCCTTGGAGTAGTCATGGACACACAAGGTCAAACTACATAGCAGAATCAACATGAGTCTGGACAAGGATAAACTCAAGTCCTAATACATACCAACTACTGTAGACAAGACAAAGTCCTAATCACCAAAGGTGAGTTTTACAGTTTCACATAAATACACAGAACAGTATTTGTAAACTATTATTAAGGAACTCAATTGTAGAACAATAATTACAGTGTAGCAAGGAGGGTAGAACAGCTATCTTATAACTCAAGTAACCTGGTTAGGGCAGCAGAGGCTGTGCCATCTGGTTAGAAAGACACCAGGTTCACAGAGGGGCTGAAGGTCAGCATTAGGACCAGACTGACAAGTAGGAACAAGGTGGCCATGTGACTGCAGATGGACCTGGGGCCCACACTGGGCAGTGTCACTCCAGATGGCCTAGGGGATTCCTCTGTAGCCCAGGGAAATACAGCAGGTGTACAGATGAGATAAATGATATATATATGATTATTTGACTCAAGTTGTATATACTATCTACCTATGATGCATATGCTAAAACATATAAATGCATATTTACATTTGTACATGCAGGGTGGACTTATATTCAATTTTAGAGCAGACAACAATGAAACAAGTGGCTGTAGATAGAAGTAAATCAGTGACTATCATTTGGCGTTCATAGTCAGCAGGAACCTGGAGCGTTGAACCAGGACAAATGAACCTTAACTGTCCTGTCCAAACGTCACCAAGTTTTTGATCTACCAATCTCTCTTGCCAAAGATGAAATGATTGCCCTCACAGGTTTGTGTCTCGGGGAGCCTTACCAGGTGGCCAGCCAACTAGCAGAGTTGGGTGAAATGAGTTTTGGCACCAATAATTTCCAGTCACAGAAAGAAAATCCCTTCCCTTCGGGTACCTTGGGCAAAGTTGCCTAATCTGATCCTTAACTAAATGATGCAGTATTTGTTCCTCCCAGGGAGAAACAGTCCTGGGGAGCAAGGGGTTCACAGCCTTGAGCTCTGAGACAAGATACAAAAGTACAGTGTTGCCACGAAGGTCTATTCTATTCTATTCAACCTCATCTGCATTCTGTGGCATCCTTTGGGCTATGATACAGCAGGAGGGCTTCAGAACTGATTGGAATGCTTTTGAGCTGGAGAGAGTGGGTAAGGCAAGTGAAGAAGAATGGGGCATGGACCATACAGAACCCTGTGTAGTTACTGAGTAACGTACAGTACTGAGCAATAGGACATAGTGGAAAAGGCCTGATACCCAGCAGTGAGCTATCACAGTCAGGGGTCCTTGCACAGAGAACAGAGAATCAGGGAAGGCATGGAGAATGAGACTACTCTTAGGAAGTTTGTGCAATCGGGGATGTTGCTAGAGATCTCTGAAATAGCTCTAAGAGAAAGAAGTGGAAATTGGCACTGTCAAGATTTCGGTCAGAAGGCAGCTTGGTCAGTTCTCCATGACCAGCTTTCCACCTGTGCTTAACAAAACCTGGAAAGAAGACCTGTTTAATGCAAGACAAGGCTGTAGCAAAGTTCAGTCTAACTACTGGCATGCCATATGAATCAAGCTAGGTAGAAGGATGAAAAGAAGCACAAAACACAGGGTGTCTGGTTCATTAGAAAATTTTCCTCTTCCCTTAATTCAACAAAGGCATTCAGTGAGAATGGCGGTCACCAAAATCAATTACTTGCACAGCATCAATCTGCTGCCTGCCTCTCTTTTGTGCCACTTACATTCAGATAAGGCTAAATACAGAGCACCAGCCAAGCTGTGGCAGATCTTAAGAAATAAACTTTTTTTCTGATTACTAGTGTGAATTTGTCATTGCCAAGGTGCCCCTGGCCTAGCAGAATGCTTTTTGCCTTGCTAATGTAACACTTTAAATTTGCCATAGGCTTACGGGCAATAGGTCTGGGTCTCTAAGAACAATAGTCATCCTTTTCTTCAGGTCAAAGGGTAAACCATCAATAAATCAAGAATTCTTCATTTGTTTTAATGATGGGGAGCAGAGTCCTAGTCTGCTTAATGTTGATTGATAGATTAGCTGTGCTTCTAAAAAACAATGGATAAGTTTGCCAACGAACCACTTATATTTAGAATCTTTCTCACCTCCACTCTTTAACTAGACAAGAAAAATTATGGCTTTCAAAATTAAAGTTTTAAAAAATATAGCACTTTCTAAACATATGTTTAAAAAAACAATATAAGCCCATCACCATCAAATTTAAAGGATTATTTTGACATAAAAATTGATCTTCATGAAATTTAACTTGGCAAAACATAACTGAACTAGACAGTTTTTTGAAAATAATGCTTTTGTTGGCTGAAGAAGCAGAGGGGAGAAACTCCAGGGTTTCAAGAGAAATGGATAATCTCCTTGTAAGGTGATTTCAATGACACTGGTGGGAAAACAAATTCCTTTAAAATAAATTCACACACACCCACACCCCCCCCCACACACATATTTTTTTTAAATAATGGCAGGGAGAAAAAGTTCTTGGAAAGGGTGTTTGCCAAAACCCTCAGTGCTAGTTGACATAGGAACTAGTTAGTCTTTCTGAAGATGCTGCCCGAATGCTCTCTGGAACAGCTGCTTTGGGGACCCAGTTCTCTCCAATGGAAGATAGTGACTCATTCATTTGCCCTCTGAATTTGTTGGCTCTTAAAGCCTTTCTGGTTTCACTGAAGCTTAATTGGTCTGACCCAGCTGAGGGCAAGATGGAATTGGGGGCAGGCTTCTATGTTCCCCACATGCATAACTACTCATCATGCACAAGAGGGGCCATATAGGGATGGAGTGACAAGGTCTTGGGTTGGGAGAAGGAGAGGTTTTGGTCTGAGGTGTCCGTGAGACATGAAAGACCTTTGAATTTGCCTTATTTCTTGCTGCAGGGCCATGAGCGGCCCTGAGTTGTTAAATAAAACCAGTAAACATCAATAAAGTGCCTGTCAGTATTTACCTAGGGCTTTGTGTAGACTCTGGTGCATATTATTTTATTTTTTATAACCCCTTACAAATGTAAAATCCAGCTGGTTTGGTGGTGCATGCCTGTAATCAATCTCAGCACTCAAAAGGCTGAGACAGGAGGATTGCCATGAGTTTGAGCCCAGCCTGAGCTACATAGTTCAAGATCAGCCTGAATTACACAGTGGGACCATCTAAAAAAAAATAATAATAAAAACCAATCTTGGTCCATAGGGGCCATATACCGTAGTTTGTAGAGCCCTGAGTCAAGCCCTCTGCCTTTCTATAGAGCTGCTTCTCTTTCTTCAAAATAGTTTTAGAATTCCACCTTGCTGATGGATACCAGGTGAGCCTCTGGATTCAAGGCTCAAGATGAAATTACCTACTTCAAGGTGCTACCTACAGGCAAGGTTTGGGCTACAGCCTTCTCTATTCCATCACTGCCACTGGGGAGAATGGCAGAAACAAGAAGTAGTACTCTCCCCACAGGAAGGGATAGTTGTAAACAGCTGTGAAGCTTTTCATCAATCTCATTCTGCTTAGAGAAGCGGCTCAAAGTGACTCTGGAGTGGGCCCCTTAGGAGTTTTCCCCCTACCAAAATCCCATTTGCCTCCCAAACAATAGTACAGTAGATGGGACGTAATGAGCCTGTGGGTTAGGTTTTCTGGCAGGACAATCCCATCGCAGAGCTACCACCCCTACCAGATGTTGAAGTACTCCCCAAACTTAAACATAACCACATATTCAGCAGCAGATGAAGCTCCACAATGCTTTGGGGTCCTTCCCCCTCACTAGGGGTGCTGTATGCTTTACCACTAGCAACAACTGAGAATATCACACACATTTCCCCCACCTGACCTGGGTGCTGGCCTAATGCACATCATGCAGTCACAACAGCAGAACCTGGGCAACTGAACAGGCGACTGCCTCTTTGCACAGCACAGATTCAACAGTTTCAACAACAGGGCTGGATATGTTTGGCAACTTTAGCCAGCAGTGACCTGCTTGGTGCATTTAAACTGAAAGTCTTGATGCTTTGGGGGTCCTAACAAAACAAACAAAACTTGTTTGGAGAAAC